TTTGTTTTTAATTCTAGTGATGATTTTCATAGCTCTAATATACTCATGTTACTATCTGCATTATTAACTTTAGATATTATCTTACTTCCTGCTATATGGATGAGGCTTTAGCTCATTACCACCTTCTTCCCCAGACTGTCCCATTTCTTATATTTAAAATACCAGTTTGTTTCTTTATAAATTTAAATGATCGTTATTTAAACCTCTATTTGTTGTTCCATCAGTTCTGACAGTACCTCATCCCTCCACTTTATAAGATACTTTCTCTACCCTCCATCACTTCCTGTACTTAACTTGCCAGCTTTTCTATTTTGTCAAGATCAACTTTTATATTCTGTTCTGTACGAATGGTTCTGTTTGATTCTTCTTTATCCCTCATAGTCACCACGGTGTGTATTACATCCCCAGGACTCTTTTTATCTTTCAACTGTTAAGTGTGTATCTTTTGACCACCTTCACTCATTTTGTCCATTCCCCAACACCCCCCACCTCTGACAACCACCAATCTGTTTACTGTATCTATGAGTTCAGTGTGTGTGTGTGTGTGTGTGTGTGTGTGTGTGTGTGTATTTAAAGATTCTGCATATAAGCGACATTATATAGTGTTGGTCTCTCTCTGACTTATTTCACTTAGCATAATGCCCCGAAGACCCATCTATGTTGTTGCAAATGGCAGAATTTCCTTTTTTTAATGCCTGAATAGTATTCCTGTGTGTGTGCACACGTGAATGTGTATTATACACATTTTCTTTATCCATCTGTCCGTGGACACTCAGGTTGTTTGCATGTCTTGGCTACTGTCGATGATGCTCCGATGAACATGGGTGCTGCAGACATCTTCTCGAGATGGTGATCTCATTTCCTTCAGATAAATACCCAGAAGTGGTACTGCTGGGTTGTATGGAAGTTCTATTTTTAATTTTTTTCAGGGAACTCCATATTGTTTTCCATGGTGGTTACACCAATTTAGATTCTCACCAACAGGGTTCCCTTTTCTTCATATCCTCACCAACACTGGTTATGTCTTGTCTTTTTGATGACAGCCATTCTAACAGGTGAGAGGTGTTATCTCATTGTGGTTTTGATTTGCATTTCCCTGATGATTAGGGAAGCACCTTTACCCAGCTGGCCATCTGTACCTCGTCTTTGGAAAAATGTTCAGGTCCTCTACCTGTATTTTAATAATCAGATTGTGTTTTTTCTTCTATTGAGTTGTAGTTCTTTATATATTTTGGATATTAGCCCCTTATATACTAGATTTGCAAATCTTTCTCTCATTCCACTGGTTGTCTTTTAATTTTGTTAATTTCCTTTGCCGTACAGAGGCTTTTTGTTTGATGTAGTCCCACCTACTTATTTTTGCTTTTTTTCTTTGCTTTTGGTGTCAAATCCAAAAGAACACTGCCAACACAGATGTTAAGGAGCTTAACCCCTATGTTTTCTTCTAGGAATATTACTGTTTTCAGGTCTTATGTGCAAGTCTTTAATCCATTTTTAGTTGATTTTTATGTAAAGTGTAAGATAGTTGTCCAGTTTCATTCTTTTACATGTGGCTGTCCAGTTTTCCCAACACCATTTATTGAAGAGACTGTCATTTTCCCACTATATACTCTTGGTTCCTGTGTTATAAATTAGTTGACCACACAGATGGGGGTTTATTTCTGGGTGCTCTGTTCTGTCCCACTCATCTGTGTGTGTCTGTTTTTATGCTAATACATTACTGTTTTAATCACTATAACCTTTGTAATACGTTTTGAAATCATGAAGTGTGATGCATCCAGCTTTGTTTTTCTTTCTCAAGACTGCTTTGGCTATTTGGAATCTTCTGTGGTTCCACATATAAAGCTGGGAATTGTTTCTTCTGTATCTGTGAAAATGCCATTGGAATTCTGATAGGGACTGCACTGACTTAGTCTATTATTTTGGGTATTATGTACATTTTAAAAATATAAATTATTCTCTCAAACAGTCTAGTGCTAAGGGTATTAAGGTTGGTAGGGTGGTTTTATCCTATAAGGTCATTTAAGGATCTAGGTCCTTTTCCCATGTTATTGTCCCCATCGTCTGGCTCATGCTGGCTCCCTTCCACATTTGCTTCCACCATAATCTTTTCCTACAGACTTGTTCATTTTTCAGTATTTTCTATTATGGTAAACATCACCACCATCTTCCAGGAAATGTGCAGACACCATGCAGTTTTTCTTGTTTACTTCCCACATTATCAGTTACCAAGTCTTTAGACCAGACTATTCTTAACAGTTCTCAGCTGTCCTTGCTACCATTACTTTCTTAGCTCAGGATTTTTACAAAGAGATCCTAATTCAATAATTTCCTATCTTTTCTCACTTTTTTAAAAAAGATTTTATTTATTGGGGGGGGAGAGAGAGAGAGAGAGAGAGCACAAGCAGGGGGAGGGGCAGAGGGAGAAGGAGACTCCCTGCTGAGTGAGGAGCCCGACGTGGGGCTTGATCCCAGGATTCTGGGGTCATGACCTGAGCCAAAGGCAGACGTTTAACTGACTGAGCCACCCAGGCACCCTTTTTTTCACTTCTTACACCATTTCAATTCAGATTTCATACATCTATTTGGGTGATGTTTGTTAAAATCCAAGTCTGATCATACTACCCACCTACCAAAAAACCTTAATGGCATCCTAACAGAAGAGAATGAAGATAAATAGTATGACAAACGAGGCATAATCTGCTCACTATTTACCTGTCTAGTCATAGTTCTTGCTAAATCCTTTCTAGTGTATGCTGTAGCTGTGAACAGTTTTTTTTTTTTTTTTTTTTTTAATCTTACCCTAATGCATCATGGTTTCTCTTTGTCCCTGTGGCTTTTCTAACATTGTTGCTTCTGTTTAGAATGGTCTCCCAATTCTCTACTGGATTCCTGGACACAAGTTTCTAAGATTCAGCTCAGGTGTCAATTGCTTTATGAATTACAACTGCTTTATGAATTGCGGTGCCTGAAGTTGTAATGGCATCCTATTTATAACATCACCCCCCTGACCTCCAGGACCACACTTGACCTCTTCTTCCTCCAAATCCCTACTGGGTCACATACAAACTCCTGCCACAGCAATCATAACACTTTAATGTACTGGTTTTATGTATTTGTCTCCTCTACTAGACTTTGCTTTCCACTGCTTCAGGGGTTGAAAAGAAACTGAATCCCCAGACTCCTGTAGAGCTACAGATGGCCATCTGACACAAATTTGGCCTCTCCCACGGAGGGCTTTCCTTCTTCAGTAAAGCCTCAGGAGGACAGAGTCCTTAGCTCTTTCCTTTTGTTCCTACCCAAAACAGACACAATGCTGGGAGGTTCGGCAGTCATCTTGTGACCATAAGGCCTGGCGAAGAGAAGGGAGTGTGGGATGTTGATGACACAGCACAGCCAGCTGCCCAGCCTTGGACTGCACACCTCAGACATCCTGTTCTGGGTCACTTTCTTGTTTAAATCACCGTAGGAGTTTTTGTTACAGCTGAACTCTATTTTTCTTAAGGCAGTTACCATAGTCTGTAATTACATTAAAAGACCTGTCTCCCCCAAATTAGGCTGGGCTCCACAAGGGCAAGGGTCTTCTTATATTCATCTCTGTACTTTTAACACCTAGGATGATACCTGGTATACAGCAGATGCTCAACAAAACTTTATACATGGGTCACAGTGCAAATGAATATTAGTAACATCAATCTTACCCGTGGTGATCATACATATCCACCACATTAAAAGGAAAAACTACCTTTTCTCCCATCTTGTGTATACACATACCAAATTACTGTGTTAGAAAGAATACTGCAAAATATTTATTTTGAATCCCTATGCATTTTAGAACAGTCGAGAAACTGCTCATTAAGAACTCCATTATCTCATGATTTGAGGCATCTGTTTACAGTTCCACTGTAGTATGATAAAGTGTTCAGAACCTGGGAACTTTCAATTGTTTGAGTATATATTTAAAATACTACCATTACCATAAAAGTTATACAATTCAGTTTTGGAATCTACTAAAAACAGTAACATTAAAAAAATTGTTCAAATACCTACATTTACACATGTTGTGTAATGTTATTTACTGGTACAGGATTTAACAGCACATTTAATTTACATATTGATACAGGAGATAGAGTAAAGAATATTTCTGGGTACCCCAAAGAATCTATTGCAATAGTCAACACAGTGAATGTTATGTTTCTTAAAAATTTTATAGCAGTTTTTAGTTTTTAACCGAATACTATAGACATATCACCTCATTTTATTCTCACAGCTGCCCTGTAGAGTAGGCACTGTTTTTTTTTTTTTTTTTTTTTAAGATTTTATTTTTGAGAGAGGGAGAAAGCGCAGGAGTGGGGGACAGGGGCAGAGGGAGAAGCAGACTCCCCATGGAGCAGGGAGCCCAATGTGGGGCTCGATCCCAGGACCCCGGGATCATGACCTGAGCTGAAGGCAGACGCCCAACCAACTGAGCCACCCAGGTGCCCCTGTTCTCTCTTTTTAATAGAGATTTAACTTAAGCTCAGAGAGGTTAAGAAATTTGCCCAAAGTCAGTCAGCAAGTTAAAGAAACTAGAGCTTTCTGACTCTACATCTTGTGTTCCATGCTGTCTTGAGTTAAAATCGACCTATGGCTTTTCCCCTAAAAACGTTAGGGTGAGACTCAGATTCTAGAATTTATTAACTTAGGTATTCTCAACATTTTTGTGCCTCCTACAGGAAAATGAAGAACCTTGTACAATTATGTATACAATGTGTCATCTGTTGAACACTTTCAAGCTAAAAACATTGTTACAGATAACCAATTCCTAAGACTATTCAACATTTATAAAGTTTCTATTAAGTGCTAGACATAGTTTTGATTGTTTTACTAGAACACAGTCATTTTTTTTTTTTAAACATTGTTTATGGCTGCTTTTCTGCTACAACAGCAGAGGTGAGCAGTTGTAACAGAGACCATGTGACCTGCAAGGCCTAAAATATTTATTATTTGGTACTTTACAGAAATTGTTGTCAACTCCTATTCTGGGTAATTAAAGAGAACAAGAGGCTGGTTCTCTGCATATTTTCACAACCTAGAGCGGACAAAGGAAAGGATCACGTATGCAAACATAATTCAGTGTGGTAAGTACAGGCATACCTCCCTTTAATGTGCTTGACTTTATTGCACTTCACAGATACATATTCTAACAAATGGAAGGTTTGTGGGAACCCGGGATCAAACAAGCCTATCAGTGCCATTTTTCCAATAGCATTTGCTCATTTCATGTCTATGTCACATTTTGGTAATTCTTGCAATATTTCAAACTTTCTTCATTTTACATTTTGGTGATCTGTGATTGCTGATGTTCCCGCTGTAATTGTTTTGGGGCGCCATGAACTGTACCCATATAAGATGGCGAACTTAATCGATACATGACATGCGTATTCTGACTGTTCAGTTCCCTCTCTCCCTCTCCTCCAGCCTCCCTATTCCCTGAGACACAGTATGAAATTGGGCCAATTAATAACCCTACAGTGGCCTCTAAGTGTTCAAGGGAAACGAAGAGTGAGTTGCAGGTTTCTCATTTGAAATGTGGTGGTATGAGATGATAAAAATGCCAACACGATGAGGTGCAGTGGGGTGAATGATGTAGGCATGGCCACATAGCATTAGGCTACTATTGACCTTCTGAGGACAGTCAAGAGGAGGATCATCTGAATCTGGACTGTGGCTGACCAAGGGTAACTGACACTGTGAAATGCACAACTCTGGATGAGCGGGGACTACTGTGCTGGCTCCGTGCTGCAGAAGAGAAAACTTCCTAGGCTTACATGGTAAGGAACTTGCTCAAAACCACAAAGCTATTAAGAAGCAGAACTGAGAACTAAACTTGGGGGGGGGGGCGTTGGTGTGGCACCACAGCCCCCGGTATATGTCACTGACAAAAACTATTTAATAAGGACTACAGACTAAAAGATCTAAATGGGTAAAAACAACGAGCTTACAATGGGCTTATCTGTGTCTGAGATTTGGGAAACATTTAAACAGTATAACAATTGGTTTCTTCATTACTGAGGTGGTAAGATTTGTGGCTGTATTAATTCTGGCAGTGCAGTTCCTTCTTAAAGCAATTCAGAAAGACACTGCTGAGTTCTTTGACAGTCACCTGTCCTAAAACATTTTTTTTTTGTTTTTTTTTTTTAAAGATTTTATTTATTTATTCATGAGAGACAGAGAGAGAGAGAGGCAGAGGGAGAAGCAGGCTCCCAAGGAGCAGGGAGCCCGATGCGGGACTCGATCCCAGGATCCCGGGACCATGACCTGAGCCGAAGGCAGACGCCCAACCATCTGAGCCACCCAGGCGCCCCCTAAAACATTTTTAAAACCAGACTTGCCTATGTTAAATAGAACAGAACTTTGGGGTTCTGAGCAATCATAAAATCTGTGCTTGAGAGTATGTAAAGCTGTCTAGGTTTTATTGGGGGTGGGGCAGGGAGTAATTAGAGTGAAAAAATGGTTCTACCTGCAAGCATGTACTTGTTTATGCTGAGAGGGGTGACTTCCCAATCTCTGGATCTTATCCATTGGATTCTCCATTCAAGCAGCAAAATCTGTACTACAGACACTTTCAGAATTTGACGATGCTGGTATTTGAGAAGGGTATTTGGTTTTTATCATTAACTGGCTGCTTGATTTTTTAAATATAACACAAATATGTTTAGCAAAAACATCAATGTTATAAGATGGTCTTCTAAATTTTCTTAAACTGTTTAGTATTTTTTACTCTTTAAAGCAATTGTACATAAAACATTAATAGTTTCACTTCCTTTTTATAAAAGGAAGGTATCTTACTCAATTATCCTACTCAAACAGGAGCAGGCAACTTAAGAGTTGTCTGAAACAGCTAGGAGTCACTACAGTTAGTGCTGCACAATCAGCGGTCACCTATTTGTCACACGGTTATAGACTTGCTAAAGAGGGAACTTCTTTGACACAGAGTGAAGCAGAGAAACAATGGAAAACAAAACCCCAAGTTTCTTTGGATTTCTTCTTCTCAGATACAGCCTAATGTGCTAAACACTACTAATAACAAATGACCATGTATAATAACAACTGAAGTATGCTGGAGGTTTGCTAATCTAGGAAAACAGTAATTAGCATGTTTTAAAACTTGGATTAAATTTTCAATTCACAAGATTTTCATTCTCACATGCTAGAGTACCAACTTTTTCTATTTAAAAGAATTCTCATTCTCACAGGAAGCTGAGTGGTCATTTTTAATAGCAGTATGTACTTATATAGGGACAGAATATGAACACACACCAGAGCGGATGACACAGTTTTACCTTGTCTATATTCTAAATTATAGCAAATGTAACATCTTTAAAAGAGGAGTAGAAGTAAACATTTAAATATTTCCCTTTTCCAAACCACACTGGTTTATTTAGAAGTGGCTTTTCTTAGGATTAGGAAACAAGGATACTTCTTAAAATCCAATTATCAATTATATAAATTATAAGGCATTACATAAATTATAAGGAATTTTAGTATTCATATAGAAATGTTGATATAAGTTAGATAATACATATCCTAACAATATAGGAAATGTCTATCATGATAGTGTATTAATGCTACAGGCAAACTTTCAAAGAACTGTATCTTCAACAGACAAACTAGATTTAAAACAAATTATATGTATACCAAAATACATGTAGCTGTGAAAAAGAAATGAATTTTGGACTTATGAGAGTCCACGGGCTAATAATATAATTCAAGAGTATCATTTCATGATTAACTCTCTTCTAAATAATGTGTTCATGAAACAATGCTATTATTCAGGCAGATGAGATTTTAGGAAGATCAGTTCAGTAATAAACAATGAAAATTCCAGATCACTGTCCTCTAAGCTCTTGTTTGGCTGCATTAATTGATAATAAAACTTTTCAACAAGCAAGCATTAGCACAGGTGAATAAAAGCATCCAGAATGATAAGATACATTCTCAACTTGCATCACTTAGGAAAGATCATTTTCCCACTGAGGGTTAGTTTTAAGATGGTGTGTGCTATAAATTTCAAACTATTCATGAGCTAGAACAGGAGTCTGCAAACTATGACCCAGATGCTTGTTTTTGTAAGTGAAGTTTTACTGGAATGCAGCCATGCTTGTCATTTCTGTACGTCTATGGCAGCTTTTTAAAATTATAGTTGACACACAATGTTACATGAGTTTCAGGGACACAACAGTTATCGGACAACTCTATACGTCATGGTTTGCTCACTGCAAGTGTAGCTACCATCTGTCACCATACAACCCTATCACAATGCCACTGACTATATTCCTTTGCTGTACCTTTCATCCCCATGACGTAAACATTCCATAACTGGAAGCCTGTACTCCGATCCCCCTTCACCGATTTTGCCCATCCTCCTACCCCGTCCCCTCTGACAACCACCAGTTTGTTCTCTGTAATTATGGGTCTGTTTATGCTTTTTGTTTTGCTTCTTAGATTCCACATTTAAGTGGAATCATATGGTATTTGTCTTTCTCTGATTTCACTTACCATTATACTCTCTAGATCTGTCCATGTTGTTGCAAATGGCAAGATTTCTTTCCTCTTTATGGCTGAGTAATATTCCACTGTGTGCACGTGTGTATTTCAACTATCTATGGACACTAGACTGCTTTCATATCTTGGCTATTCTAAATAATGCAGTAGACATGGAAGTGCACATACCTTTCCATATTAGTGTTTTAGTCTTCTCTGGGTAAATGCCCAGTAGTGGAATTATTGGATTGTATGGTATTTCTGTTTTTAATTTTTCTAAGAAACCTCCATACTGTTTTCTACAATGGCTGTATCAATTTACATTCCCACCAACAGTGCACAACAGTTGTTTTTCCATGTCCTTGACAACACTTGTTATTCCTTGTCATTTTGATACTAGCCATTCTGACTGGTATGAGGTATTCTTACCTCATTGTGGCTTTGACTTACTTTCTCTAACGATTAGTGATGTTGAGCATCCTTTCATGTACCTCTTGGCCATCTATATGTGTTCTTTGATTATTTGGGTGTTTTTGGTGTTGAGTTGTAGGTTTATATAATTTGGATATTAACCCCTTATTGAATATATCAGTTGTAAATCTTCTCTCATTTGGTAGGCTGCCTTTTCATTTTGTTAGTAAGTGTCTTTCACTGTGCAAAGGCTTTTTATTTTGGTGTAGTTCTAACAGTTTATTTTTGTTTCCCTTGCCTTAGAAAAATGTTGCTAAGGTCAATGTCAAAGAGATTACTATGTTTTTTTTTGTGGGAAATTTATTTTAGGTCTTTAGGGAAATTTATTTAGGTCTCACTTTCAGGTCTTTACTCCATTTTGAGTTTATTTTTTGCACTTGATGTAAAAGTGGTCCAGTTTTACTCTTTTGTTTGTAATTGTGCAGTTTTCTTGTCATCATTTATTAGACTTTCTTTGTATATTCTTGCCTCCTTGGTCATTGATTTATTGACCATATTAAGCATGGGTTTGTTTCTGGGCTCTATTCCGTTGCATTGAACAGAATGTGTGTATTTCTGTGACATACTGTTTCATTATAGCTTTGTAGTATATATCTTGAAATCAGGGGTTGTGATGCCTCCGGTACTGTTCTTTCTCAAAACTGCCTTGGCTATACAGGTTTTCTGTGATTCCATACAGATTTCAGTACCTGTTCTAGTTTGTCCATGGCAGCGTTAGAGCTCCAGTGAAAGTCATACATGACCCTGTAAGAAAATGTGTGCCAACCTCTGGACTAGAGGATATTTTGTATCACCTTTTAAATTTCCCCTTTTATTCCTGAAATTTCCTGGTTGAGATTTTTTAGGGCAAAAAACCAACCAAACAGAAAACCTTATTCAACTGAGAAAATTACAATTCAAGACGATATATACTTCAATGGTCTGTTTTGCTTTGATAAAAACAGGCTGACATCGATTTTACTGACTGCTGTGCTGTTTGGTTGCCACTTCTCTATCACAGAAGTCTGTTTCACACTCTTGCTTGGGCTTCTTCCTCCTCTGCTGCTGCTACATTTCCCAGGATGCTTCTTGAGCCCGCATTTTAACCTGTTTCACGTGTGTCCTTTCCCTTGTCTCTTCTCCCCAGTTTTATATGTTTTTCATGTACTCCTTTTCATCTTATAGGTTGTTATTTAACAATTGTATAGTAGCTTGTTATTTTTTACTTTAGTGTTTTGTATTTTAATATTCATTTAGATTTATTCACATACTCATTTCTTGGTTTTGATCCTTCTGGCATCTCAGTTTTTCTCTTTGGGTTTAATTTGTTTCTTCCTGAAGTGCATCCAAATCTTCACTTGTTACCCAGGGTGCTGACCACTTCTGGGCTTGGAGCAGCCTTGGATCAGCTCCTACCTTTTCTAACAAAACTCTTTCGCTCATTTCGGGGAATGTTTTCTTCTTCAACCCCATCCCCTCTGCTTTCTGTGTCTCAAGGATTCATTATAATTTCTTCTCTAATGAACCCCTTCTTATGTTTCAAAGCAAGTATTGATTCATTCATTTTAAAAACCACTTTTCTGTCATAGGAGGGCAGAAAGGGGATACCATGGCATGTGTTCATACCTCATCTTTTTTAAAAAATTACTAGCTCAAAAATAAAAAAATCAGGCCAAATAACTTTTACCTACAGAAATAAACGTGTTTCTCATAACTGTCCCTGACTATAATTCTGCTAGGGAAAGAACAGGGACTTATGAGTCATAATTCTGGAACAAATCTCAATTTCATTATATTTTCTTTGACGTCTGGTAGATACTTAACCTCCCTGAGCCAAATGGTTTCCTTATCCATAATATGAAGATGATTATACCTATGTATTTGGATTGACAGAAATTAAAGGAGATAATATAAAGTGCTTAGTACACATTATGTTCTCCACAGATGTTAGTTTCTTTTTTTGCAATATGGACAATCAAGAATTAAATGTTTTTAATTCCCACTTGTGTCATAAACTTCATCTTCCATTGCATTAAATTAGAAACAAAAACAAAAACTTGGCCAGTAAGTGATCTAGTGTATCACATAGTTTGATTTTGAATATTCTAGTTACCCTCTTTCTTTTGTTTTTGTGGTTTTTCTTTTTACCCCCCATTAGTTTCTTT